CTTTCCTAAAAAGAGATTTTTCTCTACAGCAACATTATTTTGAAAGGAAAGGATCAAAGATTCCTAATTAATGAGAAAAATCCTGTCTCCTTCACCCCTTAAATCTTGTCCATTTCCTCAGTCTCCCTTAGCATTTCATCTCAGAAGTGATAAATGTGGAATGCTCCAAGCATTGTTTAGGTTTCCCTCCAAAACTAATCAATAGTCCTACCTGCGCATGACCTCTGTTCTGTCAGTCACACCTCTGTCTTGAGGTCTACTTTCTGCACCCGAGAAGGAAGGATGAATACTCCTTGCAGAAGGAAGACCTGCATATATATTTTGTGACCACCAATAAAATCTTTGTTAGGCAAGTATTTTTTCCTCCATGTTAGTGTAGTAATATAATACCCCTATAAATAATTATTTGGTGGAGGTTTGGAGCAGCTGAATTCTGTAACTACTTTCTGGACTCATGACTTATATGCTGCAACAGTTACTTGCTACACAAATCTAAGCTTTCTTCCACCAATAAAATTATTCAATCATAACAAATACAGGAAATAAAATGTATGTCCTCTTAATACATCAGTGTTGCATTAGTCACTAAGTCTCCAGATAAGTCAGAAGTCTGCAGTCCTGATATTCAGCATAGTGGAAAACCAACAGAAGGGCCCCGTAGCTATGCTCACAATCTGTCCTCGCAAAACATCTGACAGCTGCAACACTAACAAAATTAACAGTGGATGAATTAGTACCAGACGCTAAACAGTTGCTAGAGAAAGACTCATCCATTTCTTTTCTTCTTCTCCCCTTCTTCAACCTGGCTACACCACCACTTGATAAAATTAACAGTCACTATCATTTTTTTCTTTTGTTATTTAATAAATAGCAGCACAAATACCCTTTCATACGCAAGATGATGAACTTCATGCTGTGATCTCCCCAGACTCTTAAAGACACAGTCTGCAGTTGAAAGGACTGTGTCCCAGTTCTCTCACCACTTTCAAGTGGCAAACGTGCACCCACTTGCAGATTTTCTCACTTGGAGGTTTTGGGATCCCACCTGGTGCCACGACAGAGCTGCAGCTGAACAATGCAGCGCCTGCTCCCCTTCTTTACAGGCTCTCTGCCCATACCTAGCTGTATTTCCATGTGTCTTCGCCTGCTCCTTTTTTGCTCCTACTTCCCTCCCTGCCTTCTTAGGTTTTCTTTCACTAAGCACTTTTAAATTTTTGAGTAAGGGTGCCCAGTTCAGATGCGAGCATTCAAACTCATACTGCAACATCTGAAGCAGGTGGAGTCCTGCAGTCCTATAAGGGCTTAAAAAAGCCCAACTCTGGACATCAAATTTAGAAGTGTTATTCCAGCATTGAGCTAGAAATGAAGGCAAGTGTCAGGTGATAAATTATACAGCTACCTTTACCATATCGTGTGTCAACTGATCCAACATGAAAATACGTCACCATTCAGCTAGGAGATTAAAAAACAAAAAAACATCCAAACTCTTCAATACCAATTTAATTTTTTTAAAAAATAGATAGATAGATAGATAGATAGACAGACAGACAGACAGATAGAATCTAGTTGTGTCATTAGGGAAAAGTAAGCATTTTTAAAGGATCAGCTACACATGAGAAATATGTTATTAGGAAATTACTGTGTTACATTTTGGCTAGAGAGCGTACTGAACAGTCCTGACAAGTAGACAGATGTAAGTATATAAAGAACAGCAGCATACCATCACCTGCTGACAGCTTCAGCATTTCAACTATTTACATTTATGTCAGGTGATAAATTATACAGCTACCTTTACCATATCGTGTGTCAACTGATCCAACATGAAAATACGTCACCATTCAGCTAGGAGATTAAAAAACAAAAAAACATCCAAACTCTTCAATACCAATTTAATTTTTTAAAAAAATAGATAGATAGATAGATAGATAGATAGATAGATAGATAGATAGATAGACAGACAGACAGATAGAATCTAGTTGTGTCATTAGGGAAAAGTAAGCATTTTTAAAGGATCAGCTACACATGAGAAATATGTTATTAGGAAATTACTGTGTTACATTTTGGCTAGAGAGCGTACTGAACAGTCCTGACAAGTAGACAGATGTAAGTATATAAAGAACAGCAGCATACCATCACCTGCTGACAGCTTCAGCATTTCAACTATTTACATTTATAAGAAGTCTAGTAGGATTTGGAAGTGACTATACTAAGTATTAAGTAAAACATCTATATTCTGCATGGCCACTCAGTGTTTTGCAAGCTACAAGCAACTACTCAATATAATGTTATGGTAAAGACTAGGACTGGGAAGACAATTCCTGAGTCACTGGGTCCAATTCTTGATATCACAGACAATTACATCCTATACTATCTGTACCATCTGCTTCCTAAGTACTTCACTGAAGCAAGGTATGGTCATATACTGCAGACTGGGACTGAGACAGCAATATCTATGATGGGGAAAGAATAAATTAAAAAAAAAGAAAAACAAGGCTGCAACTGGAGTCAGCAAAATTTTATGTAAAATATGTAACTCCAAAATGTTATTATTAAAGTCCGTCCCACTGCAGACTGGGACTGAGACAGCAATATCTATGATGGGGAAAGAATAAATTAAAAAAAAAGAAAAACAAGGCTGCAACTGGAGTCAGCAAAATTTTATGTAAAATATGTAAATGTTATTATTAAAGTCCGTCCCCATGCCCTTCTCCCCACTAGTTCACCAACTTGTCTTTCTCTGTCACACCTTTCTGAAATATGAATTTTTTTTTTCACTGTAGTTCTTCCTTTTACACATTCTGTCTGGCATCTCTTTAGGGAAGATTCTGTTAACAGTTCTTGTTAACAAGAAGTTTACTCGTTAAGTAAAAAGAGTTTGTGCTAATGCATATGAAGACCACAAGTAGTGCATGCCTTTAAGATTATCAATACGACTTCTTGGCAGGATTCAAAAAGCAGTTTACAGAGAATGCTGCAGCAACACAGACTTCTTTCTAGCTGGGACTCCAGCAGTCTTACCATGCTCTCTCCTTCATGCTTCCTCGTTCATTTCAGTTTTGCTAAAGAGTAAAAAGCCAACTTTAGAAGATAAAAAAAGGCTTTGTAAAAATGGCATGACAGAACACTGCATTCATACTATTTAAATTACTATATAGTAAATGTATTCAGTTTGCAAAGATAAAGATTTCCTGTTCTACTTCCACCATCCCTTTCTTCTTTCTTGCTTGCATCACCCTCAATAACAAAATAATCAAAAGACCAAAACCTTCTGTCATACCTGTGCATCCACTTACTGCTCCTGAACACCTAATTTCTTGCTAACAGGATGTGGCTGACACTTTTGTTATTGATACTAGAGCTAGTAAAGGATTTATATCTAAGTTGTGTTCTGCAATGCTAACAAAAGTAAGAATTGGGATGAAGGCAAGAGATGGGAGAAGCTGACACATACATACTTAAACAGCAAAAGTCTGCTGCCCCCATTAAAATATTTTTCAATTTTAGCTGGTAGTTAAAAGTATATGCCCATCTTAAAGATCAAAAAACAACAACAGAAAAGAACAACTAGATATCTGAGATTTAATACTGATATATTGTGTAGCCATCACTTGATGACCACACAAACACACACAGCAGACACAATACAGTTATCGCTTCAAAAACACAATGCCATCTGAAGTGCACTGCATCGTCATTCTTCCACACTGAGTTTGCTAAGGTGGGCTTCAAAACATGTTTTACTTCATCTTTTCCCTTCTATCTTTAATACTCACAGAGAAAAAACTACTATTCCTATTTAATCATTTCTCTTCCATTTCTTGACTAAATTTTGTTCTTACAATCACATTTTTGAGTCAGCCCCAAAACAGGAGCAGGAGTGAGGAAACAACATATTTTTCTTCCCTATATATTTTTCTTCCACGTAGATGATGCTAACCAGAAAACACTGCTGTTTGACTCAAAATCACTGTAAGGACACTTTATACACTTTTCCTTTTACAGCTCAAAAGAATCAAAAGGAAGTACAACTGAAAAAAATATATTAAGTTTATGAAGTTGAACTTTGAGGATAAAGAAAAAGTAATAACTAATTTAACAGAATTAAATTGTCCTGCTCTAGTCTAAAAGCTTTTGTTTCTTTACACCATATTTTAAACCCATGCTTGCACAGTGAGGTTGCCCTGCCTGGAATGCTATGGTAGCAGGCTGCAACTATCCTCCTAACTCTCTTGCTGCAGAACACTTAAAATTCCATACAATAATATTGTAGCAAATAAATTAACATACATTAATAATATTTTTAAATGTGAGATTCAGCTATATCATCCTCCAGTTACTCTCTTCTACAGCTTCTTTTACTTGTAAAGTCTGTATTTAAATATTTGTGTCAACTTTTAAATAGGTCTTCTACAGGTGTTTTAAAAAGCAAGATTGTTTGCATCATAATTGAAGGCACCTACAAAGCACCACTGTAAACATTTTCCACGCCAAGAAACAGGAGTTTCTTTAGGGCTTGTAAGCTCTTTACAATCTGGAGCCATATGCCATTTCAGTACTGCTTCAAGTCCTCACTTGTTAGACCCTTTTTAATTTTGAATTGATGCCAAGGTCAGACATCACAGCAGAGGTTTCCCATTTAAAAGCTTACCCTTTTTTTCAAAATACCTCCATACACTTTGCAGTATTAGCAAAGCTTTATGCCAACATACAACAAAACCTGAAAGGCAAGTCTATTTTCTTCAGTTTTACCAAGCCCTCTTCCACCCCCTCACACTCAAGCCCCTTAAAAGTTAGTGGTTATGGACTGGGCTGTACATTTCATGAAGAGCGGGTACAACCCTGGAGCACAACAAGGAGCCCTGCAACTTTAAAACACAAAGACATTTTCTGGACTGCAGGTAAAAAATCTAATGGCACCTTAAAAAGGACAACAGAGATGGCACACTTAGAAACATATCACTGGAAATAACAAATAAGTAAGTAAAAGATTCTGACAATACCTACTTTTGACAAAGCTGGCTGAACAGCACTTTGGGAGAAAGAGGACCTTTTCCAGCCTCCCTCATGCTGTGAAGGAACAAGAACATTGCTGAGGTCAAGGGTCCCGGGCTGGAGAGGTTTACCACCAAAGGATCCTTCAAAGCAAAAGTAAACTGCACATCAGATTTCAAAGTTAATGACACACAAGACTTATTTCAAGTTAGCACATTCATGACAAAGAACAATGTAACTTCTAGTCTTAAGAGCATTTTGGTTAGTTTTTTTTAAATGTTAATGTCACCAACATGATTGAAATAGTTGAAGAGAAAGCTTATTATTTAAGCAGTAATAGTTGCAAAACCAAACAATTTTCGATGAGTAAACTGGTTGGTAATCAATAGTTTTGGAAACAGGCATGTCAATGAGCCAACCTGATTCTCACAGAAACAGACTACCTCCGGTACTACCTGCTTTACTCTTACTCCCACCTGCACTGAAATTCAGTTGGAGAGACAATGCGGGTGACCTCCTCCGTGAACCAGCATAAGGCGGAGCTCAGTGGCACTCTCTCTACTTAACCTTAGGGAAGGGGTGGCCAGCTTCTCTGACCTCTGAGCAGCACACCGAAATTTCCACACATCCAACAGCCACAGAAAGATACCCCGTTCCTCCAGGACCCAGGTGCCAAGAAGGCACCAGCAGGCACCAGTGGTTTGCAGCAGGGGCTGACAGCAGACCCCAGAGGTCCGCTGTGGTGGAGTGTGGAGGGCAGGCAGAGGGTGCATCCCACACAACACCTCCTGGTGTGAGATTCAGGGCTGGAGGAGCCGGCTAGCAGCCACCCGAGCCAGTCTTAGAGCAGGAGACACTTGTATGTCACTGTGTCTCAACGGCCACAGATTGCCAGCTCTCCCTAACATGCTCCCAGGTTCATAGGCGACCACGGTGCTTCCTACTAGCTGGCCTGATTCTCACGAAAACATTACAACCGCTGGACAAACAATTAGAGAGGCTGCCTCATCCAGAAAGTGGATCCACACAAAACACAAGCGCTATGGATACGCACAAATATAAAGTATTTGCATTATATACACTACCAAAAGGTGGAAAAATGCCTTTGACCAAGCAGGAAGCTGGGAGTTTCTACATTACTATTAGCTACACTACTTGTAGCCCTCTAATCCTCCATTGACATACAAAGACCAGAAAACACAGTCTTTGCTCCAAAGATCTTTCTTACATTGCATGCGTTGTCATTAAACACAAAAATAAATCTTCCAACCTTACGGCTGTGCAAGTTTCACATCAAGCGTAAGCCAATGTACCACTGGCTTTCTAAGCCTACGGGCACAAACAAGCTCCAGACCTCAGTTGTGGCTCAGGAATAACTTAGTGAAACATGTTGCTGCTCAGAACTGCCACTGGACGTAATATAGCAATGCAGTGAATTTCACACTGTTCTTGCCTGGAGAAGCTATGAACATCACCAAAAGCAACATACAGAAATCTTCATAATTTCAGAAGTATCTGGAATAGAATCCCACCCCTCAGACCTCACTGCCACCAGAAAGCTCCCAGCAAACAGCAGAAAAAGAAAGAAAGAAAAAAATAAATCCTCTGTAAGTTGCTTTCTTTAGCTAGCAGAGGAAAAGGGGTATTATCTTTATTGCCAATATTACATATTACAAAAAGCCAAGGCCCTAAGACATGACTGGGAAGAGAACCATATACTTCCGCAAATAACCACAAAAGTCTCTTTCCCATATGCCTCCAATGAGCTTGAGGACAAAAAATTTGGTCCTCACTGAAATTTTGCTTCTCTCAGTTTAATCCGGTGGCATGTGAAGCATGTATTTAATTTTACAAGCCTTAATCAATGAAGGGCTGGGACAAACTGGAATAAAATATTTCATGAACACTTTCTAGAGACAAATATACTATTTCCTGTGTTACACATCATGCTGACGTAATGAAATGGGAAACAAAATTAAGCCAGCCACTCTTCTTAAGGTCAGGCATTATCCACTGCTTCAGTATTACAAAATGTGAAAGGAGGTGATTATTCCTCCTCCTTCAGGTCTGAATAACATGTTTTGTAAAAGGAGCGAGTTCACAGATACCATCAACTGGCTAAACAATTAAAAGGTAAAAAGAAACGGGACAGTAAAAGTGTGTCTTTAATGGAGATGCACTTTCCCATCCTCCCAGCTTCTTCCCACATTTCCCCAAATTTGCATTTCTCACTGTGTACTTACCAATTGGGAGTCTGCAGTATGACAGATTTTTAACTTCGTTCCTTTCTCCTTCATCTCATACATAAGTTCATTTAGTAGATGAGTCTGTGCCAAGTTCTGAAAGAAAAAAAAAATAAACCCAAGAAACACACGCTGATCTTTCAACTATGTATTTTTCTTTAGTTATAAATTCTAACTTCAGGGATAGACAAAAACAGATATATTTAATGACGTACAACTGAAGTTTAAATCAGACCACTAGAAAAAGCAGGCATCACCCTTCTAAGAGCCATTATTATTGATCATTGATCTCACACTGTTTCTAAAACTATATCTACTTCTGTTTCTGTAATTCTAAAATAGTTTCCTAGTAATAACTTTGTTATTTTTGTTGAACAATGATATTCTTTAATTTATTTTTTTTTATGGTGAGGACATTTATTTCTTTAAACTCTGCAGCCCCCCTCATCATGCCCCAAGAAGCACAAGGGCTTTGGCACAGTGAAAAGCATTACTTCTCTGAATTTAAGAGAGAAACCAACTCAACATGTCTCAGCTTTGTTTGTTTATTTTTGGTTAACTTAGACTGTAGATCACTTAGGTTTCTACAATGCTCTAACTATGGACAGAGAACAATTCGCAGTAATTGTATCCCTTACAAATTTACTTTGTTGGCTGAGTTTTGTAATCACAACCATAAACACAAGGTAAACTGCTGCCAGTTCAGCACACCTTCGGAGCAGTTTTCTCTCATTTGCTCACTCCTGTCTGCAGACATACAGACACCTCTGCTCAACTGACAAGCAATACAAAACCCACTAAGGCTACTGCTTTTTTTAGGATGTTGGATTAGTTGTACACTCAACATCAATAAAAGTGTATTGGTATAACTCATTCCTTTTATTCTGGTCAGAAAAAAACCAACATAATCAATAAAAGTACTTTTGTAACTGCATCCATTGTAGGGGTTTAAAATCATCCCAATGCACTGTGCAGACATTTATATTATGCATAAAGCACCACTTTTCACACCCACCAGTATGGTAAATACTGTGCATTACTCATGACTGCCTAATGTTGAACTACAAATAAAACCATATGCTAGAGTACAACTCACACACTTGACATTTTCATTTCTCTCATTACTGTGAAAAATGCTACTGATCCAGGAATTCTTTTTTGTTATAACAGGAAATATTGCTTGGATAGCAAGGAGATAAAAGAATTTGAAAAGGACCTCCAAAAGCAGAACGAAGACTGGTAACAGTCAGAACCGTTTCTGAAGTCCACAGTTTGTACGGATTAATTATTTCTGAAATCTGTGAAGAGAAAGCTGTATGAGCTTTCCATCTTACCTGCATGACAGCATTAAAAAAGCACGTATTTCCTAAATTATTTATTCCTTTGACTGGAACAGATGCACCATTACCAGAACTTTTTCCTTTCAGTATTTCACTTGTTTCACTGTTTTCTTCATGGAGTCGTATGATTTTTGATGAACCTATAATTAAACTAAAGATTAACATTACCGTATAACTGCATCATTTAATCAATTCAGTCCCTCCATGGATTACGTTTATTATTTTTAACATATGCAGAAAGATACCTTGATGGTACTCAAAGCTGCTTTATGTAATCTTTTAAAAAAAAAGAAACATCAGCAGTTAAAACCCTGGGGGAAAAAAATCCCCCCCAACAGCCACATATATCCAACAAAACCTTCCACAATAATCACACTGGCCCATAAGACTGTAACTTCTTCAATTACCCAAGCAATAAAGTAAAATGGGCTCTATTATTATTTCATTAACAATAGGCAGTGAAGATGTATGTTCATTAGACACACTAGAAACACCACACAAAGGCTGCTTTTCAGGCATTTGAAGAGAGGTAACTGAAAGTTACCACCTGAATGCTGCAAGTCTTTATCAATTACTGTGCTCTGTTTGAATTGCACTGTACAACTCAGTCAATGGCCAAATTGGAGTTGATATCAGTTTCCCCAAATGCTACATTTGCTCCTCCACCCGCTTCCCTTTGTCACAGCCTGAGGAATTGCTAAGACAACCCAAATGCATACTGTGTTAATTTTACACAAAAAAAAAAAATTATAAAACTGCAATGGAATACGCTACCAGTGTATTTCCTTATTTCCCTTATTATTTAAACAGATAAGGCACAGCAAAGTTAGACAGTCATTAACTTGTAGCCTAGAGGTACTGGAAAGACTTGAGATAACAATATTTAGCCTCGAATTCTACTAGCAACTTTCATACTGTCATGGTTGCAGGACTAAATATGAACATTACTGACATCTGCAGTGTCTTAAATATTGATTAACAATGCATGTCAATGTAAACGAGTTATGGACTTAATAGATGCCAAGAACTGTGATGCTGCAATCTCTGTCTTGACATATGAATTCATATATTTGTTCTAATGAGTTTCACATTGAAGTCTCATTAAAGTGTTCTTGAGAAATAACTAACAGACCTATTTACGTTAATGAAATGCTCACGCCAAAAGGTTCTTTTACATACACTCCTAGGTAGTTTCTTGCTTAGAAGATGAAAAAATATAATTAAATAAAAAAGAAGTCATTACAATATCTGTTGTGTGTGGCAACAAGCTTCTGACACGGTGCTATCAAGGTATAATTATTTTTCCAAATTGTATCCAAGTTCGTCAAAATGCAGTCAGAGGTGCTTTGCTGTTTAAAAACATGTTTAAATGTTCTTGGTAATACTGCTTACACAGCTTTAAAATATTCTCCTTTCCACTGGTGTGGAACATTAAGACAGTACAAGGGCAAAGTAAGAGATCAAGTTCTCCTTGAAAAAGGAGATGTGTTTTTGAATGCAACGAATTACAAATAGCTTGGGAGCTGCTCACACCCTGAAACGGCCACTGTTTTATGGGCTACGTGCAGCAACACCTTTTAATTTACACAGTTACAAGGGGCACACTATGGTGTCGCAGACTTGTCCACCCATCCAGAGCTCCAAGAGAACCTCAGCAGGAGAATGGGAGCTCCAAGTGTCTGCAACTCGAAGGCACTGCTCACTCTCAGAAACTTATCGTAAGTGGAGAATTTTTCCCCCCAGAAAAGTGTGCCATACAGAGAAGTGCTGGGGAGAAGAGATGGTTAAAAAGAGAAGGAAAAAAAAAAAAAAAGCCAAAATTGTGTAAATAATTTGTGTATTAGTGTACCACAGTTGCTGCATTTATCCATTGGCATTCAAAAACATCTGGGACAGCATCTTAAAGTAAACAATGTTCACAAGGCCATCTGGACAAAACTGCAGGCAAAAATTAAAGCATAAGCATATGGAAAAGCAGATTTTTCCCTTCCCTTTAGCAGTAGAGGATGACAAATGTCAAACCCAGATCTGTCCACGCTTCACTGTGCGATGCTTTGCAGCACCACCTGGCTCTCCTTGCACAGCCACCAAATATGGACAGCACTGCCACAGCAGACCGTATCTGCAGGGCAAACTCCATAAAAGCACTTCACTTCATGGTTAAATGGCAGCTTCACACAAGTAGCAAGGTTCCATTTGCTGAATCTCACATATAAATTGTTTAAGGGGGGAAAACAAAGCCGAAGCATCCCGGCTTGCAATAAGAGCTGGACGAATACGCCATTATAAAACACAATCAATGAGAACCAGACATCCGATTGCCACAAAGCTGGATAATTAGTATAGGCATGAGAAGTAGTAGCAAATTAAGAAAAGGCCTGTATGTTGTTACTGAAGTCCAGGCAACTCCTTTCATTCAGAAGGTTTTAATTACTGCCTCTTGATTTTTTTAATAGATTTTACAAACATAATCCACGTGACATTTTACTAGTTTGTTGTATCTGTGAAGAAGTCTTGACAGAAAAATGTTGCTTTGCCATTACAATCGTTATCTGCTGCCTTGCTTATGCCGTGCAGGTATTTTTAAGGACATATACAGAGCTGGAGGAGGGACAGTAGTTTTTAATTTAACTCTGCTCAGTGTCCCCAGCTCAGTGACAAATGACAGACAGGCCTGAAGCTGAATGTTTAGTTGACATGTGAAGAGTTGGTCAGTCTTAATAGAAGATGCTGGTAATGGCTGTGATAGCTAATATTTCTACAGATTGGAGCTGCAGGGTCCTTCTGCAAGATTAACCCAAGGCTACAAGCATGTTATTAATCAAAAGGGTAATATGTAATTTTTTAAAGTGAATTTGCACTGAACTGTTCCATAGACTCTTGCCAACACAATCTTGCAACCCTGTAATGTTTTAACAGGCGTGCTTTTGGATATGAAAAGTGACCTTTATGCCGGTATAGGCACAACAAGGACCCCAGCAGGAGGATTCCATCGAAATGGCTGTCATCCGCTGCTGCTCACATGGGCCTTCAGCTCCTGGCCAAACAGTATTTTGAGAAAAGTAGTACTCCAGGCCATCTGGCTGCGTGCAGTTAATACCTGTTATAATATATGTTTTTTAATCTATATATAATATATTATATATAATATATATCTAATGTTAACAAGAGCAAGGCAGGTGAAAAGCACAAAAGTAATTAAATTCATAGACTGATTTTTGTCTGTACTTCACTGTTGCATCTTTTAAAGAGTTGACATGGTGCTCCTCAACCTCTCTGCCCTTCTCAGGCACTGTGGACATCAGCCCCAGGCAGGCCTGTCCCTTCACAGCAGGACAGCGTACCCGACTGTGACTGTTTTGGGGCTCACATTCAGAATGAGCCTCTCTTGTCAGTCTCTTCCTGCAGTTGTGTTGTAGAGGTGGCCTTCCTAATCCAGTCACACAGGGAAAACTCTCACCCAAGTTGTACCTTGATGACCAGAACCTCCTTTCCCTTCAACGAAGCATACCTGGCTGCAGAGACACCCTACCACAGCGCTCTGCCCAAGACCCATTGCTAAACCCATCCCACCCTACTGACCACCTCTTCCCTGGCACCAGGTCAGTGCCTGCCTCTGGTCCCACCATGACGTCCACCTCCTGCACTTACTCCTCAGACAGCTGCGTTTCTGCTTAGGCACAGCCTTTGGGCTCGGATAAGCTTCCCGACATCATCCATGCTAGCAACCCCCTTTCCCACCAGACCCACAGGAGAGAGGACAGCAGCTCCTCTGCTGCAGCTCTTGCTTGCAATGCGCTCTTTTCTTCAGCTTTTTTCTAATCTACTTCTGCTCACCTGTAGTCTTGTCTCGCAAGGTCTCTGAGAGGCAGGGAACAACAGCGTTTTGTCCCACGGCTGCACAGCACCAGCCTCATGGGTATGTGACTGAGATTTCTAAGCCCAACACTAACATAGACAATGATTCAGTCCATGAATCAGAGCAAGTCACCAGACTAGGTGTACAAACACAGACAGTGCAGACACATCCATTTGCAAAAGATATTCAGAGAACTTATCGCAGGTTCCCTATCAATTTGTTTTGCCAGTATTTCAAACATATGCAGTGCACGTGGACTTGCTGAAACTGAGCTGTGCCTGGGGGTGCAGATGGTATGCAAGCAAAAAGATAAATGACATCCAATTTTTCTTTCAGCCAGGGGAGTAAGCATTTTTGCTCATCTTTTCAATGCAACTTTTTTTTTTTTAATTAAAAATGAGGGTTCCAGGAATATGCATTTTTATTCCAAGGTCAAGCCTTTTCTATTGAATACAACTGTGGTACTTCAGTTGAAGGTCTTCACAGTAAAAGCAAGGTTAATAGATTGCCTTTCTTTTACCAAGTTCTCATCATGCTGTATTATGAAATGCTACTAAATTGTCTGATGCTCCTTTTTTATTTAAGAAACTTAAAATTTTTTTTTCAACACCATACAACAATGAGAATCTAACCCCTAGAAAAACAGCACAGTTCTCTTCTGAAATGGTCACTAGCTTTACATTTTAAAAGCCCAATTTCTCTTGCAGTGTTACAATCCTACCAAATTAAGGATTACAATTACAATTTTATTTTTCTGACTCTGCCCGAATGTTATGAACTAAAAATCACATCTGCACAGTGTGAAAGAGCAAGCTATTCAAGCACCAGTTTTGATCCCCTACGCTTAGATGACTTGTGCTATACCTCACAAGGAAACAAGTATGTGGACAGGAAAGGGAAGAATCTGTGGATAAAAATGACAGAATGTCTAAAATTTTTTTTTGCCAATGATTCAGTTTTCGTTTCTTTGCAACGTGTACAATGCACACTAACAAGTAAGTAAACTGGAAAGAAAAATTTATGACCAACAACAGAAATGTCTTTTTCCTGAAGCATATCTCAGATTTGGAGAATCAACATATACTGCTTTATATTTGACAGTTAATTTTCTTTTTAAGTAGATAAAATGGACTTATATGACTTCAAGCTCCAAATTACACATAGTAAAAATCAGTTATGAAAGAGCACAATTATTTTTTTCAGTGCGATCAGTTGTCAACTGCTACTACTCACAGATGAATGCAAATCTAAAAATCTATTCATCATACTATTTGTTTCTCCACACAAGTTAACACCTATTACTTGTACTGTAGAACTGTATCTTTTTTCATCTTTGTTTTACATGGGTTACGTCCATTAAAAAAAGAAGTCAAGTTTCTTGATATAGTTTCATCTATTGGCACATCCGGGCAGCTGAACTTACTAGCAAAATCTCATTCCTCTGCTTGACCTTTCCAACAATAAATTTAACTACAAAATTTGAGAATAAATATTCTTCCTTCCCATTCTATTGCCACACAAACTAATTTAATTAACTGCTCTATAAAAAAAACTGAGTATGCAATCTTATGTCTCCACCGACGTCTAATTTGGCTTTTGTAAAGGAAAATGTGCATAATATTCACTTTTAAGACTGCAAAACAATTTATTTTCTCCAGCAAATGAGCAGACACGCAGATCGCAATGTCTCAGCATGGTTTCTGTGTACTACATGTGCATTATGTCCATGTGAAGCTCACAAGTGTGCCACACGGACAATACTGCACCTGCCTTTCTGTGGAAATCATCATGGCCTGCTAACCTTTTACACAAAACAAATTTCTGGGTGGTACACCCTAGAAAGCAATCTTGCTTTATTCTTCCATCTTGTGCCCAACATGACCCCTTAAGCAAACAGACTCCTCTAAAAAAAGGAAAAAAAATGGTGGGTGGGGGGGGAAGCAGGCACTGCTGGGTACAACAAACCATAGGATCAGATGCGAAAATCACACAGCTGCAAGCATTCTTTTGGGAACCCAGCACTGGGATTTATCTCAATCGCTTAATGTAATTACAAAAGTCAGTCATGTAGTAGTAATGTAATTTGCACATTTTTACAGCTGAAGTGAAGTTGAATCTTTATGAGAGGCCGAGTGAAAAGCAGGGATCCTGCTGCCACGCTATTCCACCACATTAGTACCAAATGACAAGCATTTTGCTTTTGTTTATTTTCCAAGATGCATTAAGTAGGAAATCTATATAACCCTCCCTTACATGTTTAAGCTGATTATTTTATCTTTAAATGACTCCTGCACTTTTGAGAACCAAAAAAAAACAAAAACCCTAGCAACCCTCATCTGTTACTTAGATCCATGTTCATACTGCCTTTCTGCAGAAATTTCTACACAATCTTATTTGAATTTTACTGACACACCATGCCAACCAGTTGTTAGAACAGGAAGAAATCCAGACATAAGATGAATTGTTGTTACAGTGCCACATTCTGATAAGAAAATTAAGTAACAGTGTCTTCACTTTGGCTACTTTTTTAGGAAGACATAGAAAAGCAATGGGGAAAAGCAAAAGTGGGAAACATGAATTACTAATTGTCAAGTTTTACACTACTTGTTTCTCACAAGTTATTTTTCATTTATTTAAAATTAAAGCAGTTTATTTTTATAATGGCTGAATATACAAAATAAATTTAAAAACACTAAGCCAGCTAGTAATTTAAAGGATGACAGTTACAGTGAAAATATCACTGTAACACGAAATAAAACACTACACTTAAGAAAACTAAAAGATAAGTAGAGTTAATTTTCACTGTTATACTTTGTGTCTTTTGTGTTCTGGACACCAGCATGAATTAACATTTCTATTTCAGATTTTATTTTTAAAAAATCCTCAAAGGCCGCCTAATTTAAAGGAAAGAGGAATTCTTACTTAAGTTACATTTCTTTAGAGGAAGTACCAAATGTGTCAGCGCGAGTATTTGACATAAAAGAGAACAGGCACTGCTGTTACACTTACCAAAGTGAAACAAGCATGCCAACGCTGCCTGGGAATTCCCTCTCACGCATGCCGCTTACCAATACACGGCTGTTTCCCAGCCTCTTCCAGTGAGCAGCCTGGCCCAAAGCAACAGACCATGCCAGGCAAACAGCTTTTTCCTCGTTTTCCTGCCATTTAAGAACCCAACAGATCGTCTTTGGGCCAACGTACCCAGAGCTCTCAAGAACGGGATCCAAACTCTGCCTCACAGAGAGGGTCACTGACCTCTACCTTCAAAGCATTATGGACGTATACACACGCATACTTGGTTTTTACGTGAACACAGGCTCACACGGGAGCCTTAGCCCTTTTCCAGCGTCGAGCTGGAGACACAACTGCCTTGCAGGAACAACTTCCACGCACCAAGACCTCTTGCTGTCAAGGCAGCCACCCTGCAAGGCTTGCACATGACCTCCTTAGCTTTGAAGGATGCTGGCGTGACTTTTCGCATGCTCAAAACCAGGCACGTGCATGAATTTGAAGGATGACACGTAACCATACAGACTGGTAACAAACAGTCCAGACACTGGGAAAGCAGACTCCGCAGTCCACCACCAATTTAAAACTGTCCTGCACCTCCCACCACGTTCTTGGAGGAACCTCATGCTGCCCACAACACACAGCTCGCCTGATGTCATCGCTGGCACCCAACTCTACCTTTTACATCACTGCCATGAACCTCCTTTTCCAAAGCACTAAAGCAAGCAGGTCCAACTCAGTGCACTGCTACCACAAAATGCATGACCGCAAACTGAAGCTGTATGATAGCTAGTTTTTCATCTTAATGACTGGTTTCGGAAACTGAGGGGAAAACTGGTTTAACTAAAACAGGAAAAATTAAAAAAAAGAAAAAAGAAAAAGGAATGTTTATGCCCTAGACAAAAACAATACAATTTTGTTTGCAGTTATAGGAAAGTATTTCCAGTCATATCAGGTAAATACTTAAATGAAATATATGCATTTTCAAAACAGAGTATCAAAATGAAACACAAACTACATAAACAGCAGAAGAGCAGGGCAGAATATATTTCTATAAACACCTGATTTTTAAGAAAATATGAGCCTAATTTAAGTTTACTTTTCCTGAATTAGTTTGGAATTTTGGTTGCTCAATTTAAGACATTTCACAGAAAACTTCTAAGCACCACACTCTGAAAACTTTAGATATTTTGAAGATTTATACACTAAAAATCTAAACCATCAAGCACACCGAGTCATATTACTCTGAAAGTCTTATCCAGCAGTACAAAACCAGAACAAAATTGTTTCCATTAAATTAACTGAAACAAACACTACAGCATTTTCATCTGCAAGCAAGCTCCAACACCTATTTATTACATGCAAACTTGAAACTGAAGCTGTGAACTGAAGTGAAATCACATACTGTCTTTTCATTGCTCCAAGCGAAAAGATGCAAAAAGTAGCAATTTATCAATTTATTAAAATTGTGTAATTTAACATACAACTTGTGACTAGATCAAAATATATAATATGTATTTCTGAGTGGCCCTTCATTGTTTTCCCCTCAAAAAAATGTGTAACACCTCTTAAAACCAGTAGGATTTATACACATGCAGCTAGAGGAATACCTAGTCTAATTCAGTAAGGCAATTCTTTTCCATTCTTACTTCTAACCAGTTGATAATCTCTGCTAAAAACTGGAACCAATTGTTTTAAAAGTTTACTTAAGCTGTTTTTTGTGAAGAAAATCTGGAATCAGATGCAATAAGTCACAATGCCGAGTGTGTTACAGTAGGGATGAATAACATCAACATTATCAAAAGTAGACAGCTGAGGGCCAACAAAGTTCTATCTACTACTACATATATTGAGAAGTTACAGTAGGCTCCTAAAATAAGAAAATAATTTCCTACTATTTTCAATTAATAGAAATGAGTGTCCTATTAACGAAAACCCAATAACATAAATGAACAGAAACCATTACATCCAACAGAGTACTAGAAAATCCACTTAAATTTAATTAACTGTGGAAAACAAATTTAAATCAGAACAAATTTAAGGTGTGACACGTACACACTAGGAGAATTCAATTCGTTTATGCTCCCACATAGGTTTTGTGCATTAATTTATATGGCATCTTATTTAAGGTAACATCTGTTCTACAACAAACTTTCTTCATTAAAGGCAAAATTTGGAAAAACTGTCCTATGCTGCCCAAAGTATTTTAAAAATGTAATCATACTGTAGAAAAAACAATGAAATTATGTTTCGACAGGCACTACTTGCCCAAGTAATTGTGCAATTACAAGCTGTATTATACTCGCATCATTCAATTGTATGTTTAACATGATTCAAAATCTGAAATGCTCATTTTTAGAGACAGTACATTACAGATGTCTCCAAATAAAACTATTTGTGTAAACTTACTTGGTTCAGCCCTGGAACCATGTTTCTGAAGAAAGTCAACTATCTGAGCCAAAACCTTTTTGTTGCAATGTGTGGACAGCTCTTCATCACATTCATAACACCTAACAAAAGAAGAAACGAACTGGAGTTCAGGATATCTGGATGCACCTCTCAGTTCTAACAAACCTCTCTAACAACCTTACGCAAATTCCTTAAGCTCTAGGTTACAATTTTCCATACTAAAAAGAGGAATAAAATTGAATTCTCTCATCCCATATATGCTCTCCTATAGATTAGCCCCAATTCACTGATACAGATTTAAATAATCTCTGTTAATAGTCCTGCAAATAATCATATAGAAACAATCAGGAAGGACAAACTCCTATAACCAGCCAAGACTCTACAGAGCACAATGGACTCAAACTTCTGTGTTAGTATTGATTTGTGACCCACTGAAAGTCCTAGGACAAACTAATTTTCTCTTTAGAAAGCCTGCCTTTCCTCCATATAAAGTATTCACATTATCTGTGAGAATCATTCTTTGTCATGAGAAGACTCTGCTTTAAGTTATGAGTAGTCCTTACAGACAAGCATACACAAACACCTGCATGCTCATTCTTACCATATGATCCATGTGCTGAGGTTGATAACAATGCAATGAGGTTCTGCGCGTGCTGTTTGGAAATGTTTCAGAGAATGTTGGCCTTCCGAGTTCTTACTACATCCCTAAAAATGTAAACATCACACAGTAAGGGGGAAAAAGGGAAGTAGGAGAAGACTATATTAGTAGTAAATAAACTGCAAAAACTTTACTTTTCAAGATTAGACAGAAAGCTATAGTGCCCTAAATACTCATTTAGCATTCTCAAGGATTGAGAGGGTTTAATGTTCTTTATAATCCAGTATTATAAAGATATCAATTAACTTTTTTTTTAAAACCAAAACCTCATCTTTTCTACTTGGAAAAATCAGTTAAAAATATAGCTAATTATTAAGTTTGTTTTAACTTAATAGAAATAACTCCTAGCTTCTGAATTCAATAAGTATCAACAGACAGCAAATTATGCCATTCACAAAAGTATGAATTCTCTAAAAAGTGAATTACATTACTATGGAGCATATTTTGTCCACAGAATATCAGGGAAAGGACAGCACAGATAACCCTCACTGTTCAAGAATGCCAAATGCATTCCAGACACCAAATACAAACGGCACATAAATTGGTTTTGTACTAAAAAGGTACTTATAACACACCATTTATGTACAGCAACTTCGTGAGAAAGCATTTGCAATTTTTCAAGTATCTACAGAGTGGGACTTCGAAGGTTCAGGACTGGTCTCTGAATGAGGCATGAGTTTTGGAGGCTATTAACAGCATGAACATGAAAAAGCACACAGATTTAACTCCTTTTAAAAGCCCACCTGTCCTGGTTTCAGCTGTGATAGAGATAATTTTCTTCATAGAAGCTAGTGTGAGACTAAGTTTTGGATTTGGGATGAGAAAATGTTGATAACATGCTGATGTTTTCAGTTGTTGCTAAGTAGTCAAGGACTGTCCAGCTTCTCATGCTGGCCTGCCAGCAAGAAGGCTGGGGGTGCACGGGAAGCTGAGAGGGGACATGTCCAGGACAGCTGACCCAGGCTGATCAAAGAGATATTCCATACCATATGATGTCATGCTTGGTATATAAGGCTGGGACAAAGAAAAAAGAAGGGGGGACTGGTGGAGTGCTGGCGTTTGTCTTTCCAAGTAACCATTACATGCGACGGAGCCCTGCTTCCCTGGAGATGGCTGAACACCTGCCTGCCGATGGGGAGTGGTGAATTAATTCCTTGTTTTGCTTTGCTTGTGTACAGCTTTTGCTTTACCTATTAAACTGTCTTTATCTCAACCCATGAGTTTTCTCACTTTTGTTCTTCCAATTCTCTCCCCCTTCCCACCGTGGGGAAGTGAGTAAGCGGTTGCATGGTGTTTAGTTGCCAGCTGGGGTTAAACCACAACATCACCTTAACTAAAAATTTTCAGACAAGCTATATGAGTCCTTCTCAGATCCACTTAACTATATTTTGAAGCCTGCCAATATTTTTGGCTAATAGTTTTGCTAATTTTATGCTAATAATTTTTTATGTTTCTTTGCAAAAGTAAATCTGTTCAGGTAATACCAGTAGGAGCTGGCTTCTGTCCTTCAAGACCTACCAAAATTCTAAGAAAATTGTGAAATGCTTTGGTCGGGCAACTATTAGCTGAACCAAGCATGACACTGCCTGTAAACCAAATTTTTCTGTATCAGGCTTTACTTCACTCACAGGACAAAAATCTGCGCAAGCCCTTGGCGTCAGGACCTGCCATTCTAAACTCTGAAGCCACAACTTGACATTGTAACTGATCTAATCTAATGGCTAGCTGCCACTAAAAGCAGCATTCTCACGCCTGCACAGTGCCTTCTCCTTAGTTTCAATCAAATCTAGCAATTGAGTGTCCATAGTATAGTCGATTCAGCAATATACATATCCATTTTTTCATTCATTTATATTTGCAGGATCTTCTGCAGAGGCCAGCTGAATGGATACATTTTGCAACCAAGAAGTTCCTGGAGCAAATTCTCTGTACCTGGCAAGAGCATGCAGATGAAGAACAGCGAAAAGGCAGAACTGTCACTTACTACTTGTGATGCTGAAACACACCATGATCCATAAAGCTACCCAAAACGCGGCCGACAACCAGACAAGAAGAACGTAAGGCCACATCCCACTCCACTGAAGAAGCTGAAGCATGGACTCCCACAACTAAGCACTTGTGTCACACTGTTTCACTGAAGGTAATAAGATGCCAAACAGACAAGGAGCTATACTGGTCACATCCTTTAGAAAATCAGGGCCTATCCACCTCCATAGATTTCCAACATATGCTTACCTGAAAGCCACATTTGAGACACAGCCATATATCCGAAGGTGCCACGGGCTCACCATCACTCATCCGCCTCTCCTTCAGACATTCTGCACATATTGACCAAACACTCTGAGCTACCGCTCTCTTCACATGATGCACATCCACTGCTTGGCTCACGTGCTGGCAGGTTAAGCCTAAAGAAAATGACACATACTCACTTCCATCCATTAAAAATAATAGCTAAGAAAGGGAGAATGTGTATACTAAGGGAGTAGAGTCTTCAATGAATGCAACATTAGGGAAAAAAATGGCAAAGAACTACAACAGGAAAAATCAGCCACCTGCTCTCCATATACTGAATTTTATGAACGATCTATTTCGGTCTTTCTACAATGAAAATCCTTTTCAAGTCAATAAACACCACCTCTTAAAAACAGATAAACTATTTTGTACAAAAGTACAAGAACTACTTCTGTACAAAATTAACTTCCCTGTTTGGGAGGGGGGTGTCAAAAGAAAAATACTATATAAACCTACTATTTTAGCATATAACAACACAGGTGGTTGACCTCCTTTCCCATCCATAAAGACAGATTTCCAAATACCCATGCACCCTTAATCCAACTGCCCATTCTGAACATGAATATCACCAACCTCTTCTCTGTCCTGTTTTTTGTACAAATTCCACTATAATATCACAGAATAACCTAGGTTTGAAGTGACCTCTGAAGGCCAGCTTGTCCAAACCCTCATTCAAAGCAGGGTCAAATACAAATTTAGATTTGATTGCTGATGGCTTTGTTCAGCTGACTGTTGAATATCTTCAAGGACAGAGGTTTCATCACCTTACTAGAAAATCAGCTTTCTATTTGATCATCCTCATATGAAAATAAAATAAATTTCCTCATACCTAGCCAAATTTTCCTTGCCCTAACTTTTGTCTGTTGCCTTTAGTCGTTTCATTGCGGATCTCCTAGAAAAGTCTGGCTCTGCCTTCTCTGTAACCACCTATCATGCAGTCAAAGAAAGAAACTATACTTTCACTCCTTTGACTAAACAAATCCATTCCCTTCAGCCCTCTTCATGCATCATGTTCTCCATCTCCTTAACCATGTGGAGGAGGTGACCCATTGCTGGACTCACTCTGACAAGTCCATGTCTGTTTTTTAACAGGGAGCCCACAATTGGACACAGTACTCCAGATGAAGTCTCACAAGTGCTGAAAAGATGGGAAGAATCACGTACTTTGACCCGCACTGTAGTTAATACAGTCCAGCATACAGCAGGCACAAGCCACACCGTTTGCTTTTATTCAACGTGTGCACTAGGACCCCCAGGATCTTCCCTGCAAAGCTCCTTTAAAGCCATTGATGCCCACCCTGTAATTGCATGTGGTTATTTTGGCCTAGGAGATGAACTCTCCACTTGCCTTTGCTGAACTCCATGAAGTTTCTACCAGCCCATTCCTCCAGCCGATGTAAGTCACTCTGAACGGCAGACCTACCCTCCTGTGCATCAACTGCTCTCCTCACTTCGTTGTCATAAAGTTGACAGAGCACCCAGCTCTCTAGGCACCTTCAGATGCATCCCATCTGATCCCATGGACTTGTGCATGTCCAGTTTGCTTAACAGCTCTCAATCTTCTATTCTGGACAATGCTTAAATCCCAGTCTTCCACTAGGCTCAGGGACCCGGGAGGACCAAGTGCAGAGCTTACATGTGAAGACAGAAGCAAAGGAAGGACTGAGCTCCCCAGCCTTTTCGCATGTCCCTAGGTCCCCTGCCCCTTCAAGCAGCTTGCCTTAGCCTTCTTGTCACAGTATCCATACAAGCCCATTTTACTCTTCACACCCCTCATGCAATTCAGCTCTGCCTGAGCCTGGCTTACCTAATCTCATCCCTGCACAGTCAGGGCCCCTGCAAGGGCAGCCCAAACCTGCCTCCACTCTCTCTGCCTTCCTTTTACCTCTGAGGTCCGGTGGAAGCTCCCCGTTCAGCTAACAGCCTCCTGCCACACGTGCTTGACCTTCCACACACTGGAAAGGACCATTTTCCTGCTCTGAAGAGGTTGTCCTTGAAGATCAACCAAGTCTCCAGCCCTTCAGGGCTGTCACATGATGTAACAACCAATCACGTCATAACACCTAACTGGGGATATTTCTGCCATAAATTCAAACAAAAAAAAGTATTTCGTAGTACCACGGATTTGTGGTTTTATCAGTCAACACAGAAGTTATTAGCCTTCATCACCTAACTGTATTTACCTGAAATATCATCTGAAGAGTCTTCATCCTGTGGCCTGTTAGGCCTTTTGCTTCTCTTTGGTTTCTCAGGGTTGGCTCTTGATGGATCTTTCACCCGCATCTGTTATTTACTGTGAAAGAGAAACAGGGGTTGCTTCATTGTCTAAATGCTTCCTCAAATGTAGTGAGTTTGAACGCTAAAACCATGAGATCAAATCACACATTCAAGCCTCAGGAACACTGTTTTAGGCTTTGACTAATGTCAGCTATTGTGTAACAAGGAGTATGAATGTGTGAGGAACGAACTCCTAGGAATGCCTCAAGATCAGCTGGTTATATTACATGACATTATAAATTCTATCTGTAGCTACAGGGGAAATGCACTTCCAGACAGCAGAGTTAAATATTTAAGATACTGAGGTTTTCTTTACTTTTGTTATTGTAAACTACTACAGAGCTCCAGCCATACCTTACCAGAAAAACTTCATTAAAATAAAACCTTCTCTTCCTTAACATATCTCCCTTGGGAAAGGTTTCTGTCACCATTTACCCTTGCACGTTCCCGAAGAGCTTTGAAGCAATTTTAAACACTTTAACAAAATACAAAAGTATTCCAAATCTCATGAAAATGTCCTCTCATATGAGACTAGAGTGCGAGCTGACCCCTCTAGTAAACATCAGAGAATCCACACGGATCAAATGTCTCATAGGAAATTTGGGTCATTAATCAAGGAGTCCTATGAGGAACAGAATCAAATTATAAATATTTGCCACTAAACTTAAAAAAAAAATCCTCAGAGATTTCAGCACACCAGTCATCTAATCAAAATCCAAATGTGAATTCACTAAAGGACCGTAGCAGTGCATCACACAAACAGTTTCTGAGGCTTAGTTTACAGGTTGTCTTTTGACAACATGCTTCATAAAAACAAATTTATGTTTTCATACACAAAGCATATGAATGTAAGATAGGCAAATATTCGTACATTGCAAACCTGTGAGCCACTCTGTTTAGAAAAAAAAAAAAAAATCACATCTTGTTGTGTACCACATACAAGTTAATAATGTCACCTGAACCACCAATACCAAACATTTTCAACTGTGCTACCTCATTTATGTATAGGAAACGTCTAGAATGCCCTACATTTGGGAATAGCAAAAGATATACTCTTGATACAGATCAAGTAGATAAGTTTGCCAAAGTTTAAAAAGTTTGTCTACCTAAGTTTTTGAATCTTCTCTGTATATGCATTTAGACTTTGTACTACTGAAACTGTGAGAGACACAGGAATTGACCTGTATCTTGAACTCGGTATCCCCTCTCCTTTCTTATCCATTAAGCCAATCAGCAGAACAACCATCAATATCGATACTAGGGCACCACTGCCACTGGTATCTGAACAACCCTCATGCAGGCGAAGCAGGCAATCTGTACCTCAGAGCTCCTGTTCCAGGTTCCTACAGATCTGGACAGACATCTCTGCATCTGCCACGCATAGCGTTAGGGCTGGATGTTTTCTGCATGAATGTATCAATCAGAGATTTACTTTGGACAAGTCAAATTTCTGTAGAGTATGAAAGAAACCTTTACTCTCTGCTTCCTTGCATCAATGGCATCATGACTCCTCAACCTTTCAAAATGCAATTCATTTTTTCAAAATGCTTCATTTACATAGCAATCAGTTTATACTAAATACTGTGATGCTCTTAAATTGCAGATTTCAAAATTTCCAGTACTTAAGGGTATAAAGCTTCAAATGCTTAGATACAGAAGTGAACAATGCCACTGAATGCACCTTTGCTGGTTTTCTAAGTTTGCAATTCATGTTCATACCGTAAGAGAGATCTGAGTATTCCAGCTCTTGTCAACAAATTTTTGCTTGCTTAATGTACATCAATCGCCACACATCACACCATCCCTAGAAGAAGGAAAACATGCTTCAGACCCAAACAACTTCAACTGTGTATTTCTGCCTTGGCATCTTATCATATATATCCAAGGTTCATGCAGAACTACCCATCACCACTTGTCACACTGCCACTTAACTGAGCAGAAGATTCACTGAGACATTCATGAAACAGTAAAGCCAATACAGCTACTGTTAGAAAACCCATGATTTTACACTAAATTATGTAAAGAGTCAGTAGCAAAGACAGCAAAAACATCCTCCCTAAAGGAACATAGTTGTGTTTAGGTTATTCAGCATTGGCATAAACGATCTACAAGTTCATTTCAGCATACTAATTTTTATCTCTTTGGACAGATTATGTAAGGCTGTCCAAACCACTGATTTCACCCAAATGAAAGTCATGTTCACATCAGTACATTTTGAGAGCTTGGATAACTTCATGAAAGAACAATTATGGGCCCAACCAGCTGAAAGGCAAGCAGGTCTTTACCACCTGTGAAATCCTGTGGCCCATAGGCCAGGTGATACAATCCTGATTGGGGCACACACAGCCCACTGCTCAAGCCACTCTCTAGGGTCCTTTAGGACACATGGAAAAGACAGAGTGTCAGCTGGTACCCACAACGAGTGAAAACGTTAGCATTTCTAGCCCAATGTAATCAACATGGCATTAGAAATGAACGCTGGCATAAAAAGCCAGCATTCACACTGCAGGTTTGGGAACCGACCAAGCAACCCAGAGACTTTTCAGTCTTTTTTCAGGAAGAGCAGGCAGAACAAAAGATAACACGGACCATTAGATTAATCAGTTTTCATGAACACGCATATAGACAGGCATCCATCAGACAATGTTTACTGACCTGTGAGCTCTTAGAAAAGACACAGTATACTAAGGACCTAGCCAGGCGGGGTTTGTGCCTGATTTTGAAAAGGATGTAAGTGGGATAAAAGGGTAAGAGAAAAAAACTATGCAGGAAGCATCTATGATGCAAGTAGCACAGTATATATGCAGTACACTCTGCCCTTTTCCAGTGTATTTAGGGGCAGAAAACATTACAAGTGAAAGATTTCATTTAACAATTGAAAATATGATTGAAAATCAAAATGTTTACTCCAGGAATTTGATTATTATATCTAATTGAGATAAACTGGGAAGAAACCTAAGGTGCTTCAGAAATTACTTCTCAGAAATGTTTCAGTTCATGGGAAATAAAAGATTGGGATTTTATTGGAATGACAACTCTGAACAAACACAGACCAAAGAAAGCATAAAATACAGCTAAGAAAAAAACAAGTGAGAAATTCTCTAGGTTTCTGTTGACCACAGGCACAAGCCACTCAGGACAAGCAGGCAGAGGAGAAATGAATGATTTGCACAAAATGAACTTGATATAATGAAGATTAAAAACCTTGGCAATACTCCCAAGATTTGCCTCTTTCCAACCCATTCTCCTATTTTTTTAGTATGTTCAATGAGCAATTTGTGACTACAGCCATCAGATGTGGAGTGTCTTCTTTCCCTGTGCAGAAAGTAGTCTCCATGAATCCTTACTTGGTAGTTTCTTTTTGAGATGGAAAAACAAATACAGTAAGTTTTTCATTTTGTGTACACAAAATCAAGTCACAGTGCAAATTATATTTGACTAATGAATCTGACAAATAAAACCCCCTGATTTTTGTGGTAGAAAAATCTGAGTTCAGAGAGTATATTAGCTCCACCCTGATCTCTATTTGGCACACAGTAAAAAATCTTAAGTAGAAATTATGCAGTGTCATGGGAGAAAAAATATAAAAATAGAAAGAGCTAAATCTCTTCCTTTTAAGCAATCATGTCATACAAAGTTAAGAACTAGTCCTTGACAAACGCGTTCAGATTCTTTGAGCTCAGCATACAAGAGTTTGAAGTGTAATCATCATCATTTGCTATTCTCCGTTTACTTTTTCCTTCTTAAGACTGCTAATGGCAGTCTGCCTACAAAAAGCTGATTAAGATCAAAAGCTCCTCACTACAGCTGCTCATTTCCACCTTTCTAGAAAGAACAAACCACTTCAAAAGCAACAGAATGATCTGCCTAATTTTAAAAGCTTCAAAATATGATAAAGTGCCAAAAATCAACATGATAAATTTGTAACGTTAAATCTAAGGTATGCCTAGAATAGTTCAAATGCAAAGTATGCCTGAAATAGTCCATATTTAAAAGTGTGAATACTTCTATATTTAGAAATGCACCCTATTCATAAAGCATATATTTAGAAACTAAAAAGAGCTGGATGTAGTTCCAACAATAAGTAATTGTTATTTTTAAAGTTTTATATTTTACTGGAACTCAGTAGAGCTAAGACCAATAAAAGATAAAAGGCTAGTGTGAACTAGAATTCACTTTTCTTTTGGGAAAAACAAATAAACCAAAACCAAACAGGTTGTTCCTCTTCACAGCACCTTTATGCAAGAGAGGTGAAGAAGCAAACTATGTCTTCCCTGTCTACAATCCCCAAAACCCATTCCCATCTTATAATCTTGCACTCATTAGAGGCTGAGTCCCTCCTCCCGCAATGTCTACAGCTCACCTGGTAAATTTTGAAATGTGCCACCTTAGTGAGTTTTCCCATGCTGTACCTTCACTATGATGCTTACAAGAAACCTGAACCAGATCTTCAGTATGTTAGAGAAATAACCTGCCATGCTGACAACTACCACATCACTGCTTCCATTCCACCTTTTCAGATCCACCTTCCTCTCCTCTTATAATTAGGGTGCCAGCTCTTTCAGGCAAGTGCCACATTTTTGTTCTTATCTGTATAATAGCTATCACAACATTTTTCCAGATTCATGAATAACAGGAAGATTACATTTGCATTACTAGAATGCAAACAACAAGATATAAACTGTGTAATAACCATTAGCTTATCTAAGCATACTTACCCTATGAAATATAGCCAAATGAGTTTACAGATAGTCTCCCAGTACTATTTTGGATACAGGTAAAACTCTCCCAGTAGGACTGGCCATTAACTGTGAAACCAGTACTGTTAATTATTCCACCAGTGAGTGCCTGAAAGTAGCTGGTACAAATACATTTACCTTAATCCCTCAATTCACTTGAGATATTCTAAAGGGATCAGGCCCAGCCAGCATGGGTTC